TCTGCTTTTACTCCTGTCCACACCAACCTAGTCACCCCCTCAGTAGCCAGACCAAACTCTCTATAAGTCATTTGGGTTCTGGCACATCCCTGCTTTAAATTCCTGATGAGATTTCTTCTCCTCTGAACTAAGAATGAAACCCAAACTCTTTAAAGCACCCCTCAGGGTCCTAGCAGTATCTGGTCTCCAAGCATATCTGAGGCCATCCCACTCCCTTGCTGTGTCCCACTACGTTCTCTCTCTTCTTCAGACAGCCCAAGCTCGTTTTTGCTTTGAAAACTTAGCACATACTGTTCCCATTAATGGGCTGTTTTTCCAGAAGTCTCTCCCTACCACCTACCCACAGGACATTGCAGGATGTTGGTATCAAACTGTTAGGTTTACGTGATTAATGTCCATCAACACACACACACACACACACACACACACACACACACACACCTAGATACGAGCATCAATTCTAAGAGTTTAGGTACTATCTCCCTTTGCACATTTATGCCTGAGAATCTGGCTCACAGCAAGTGTCCTGTGTGTACTTATTGGATGAGTGAACTGTAATGCATGTCAATATGCATTGTGGGTAGCTACGTACAAGGGCTTGGTCTGGACGTTCTGGCATTTGCGTGCTAGGTCGTCACGTGGTGCTGGTATGCATCGAAGAACAGACTTGAAATGTCTCTTGAGCTACAGATAGATCTCTTGGGGCCAGTTTCTCACCTAGAAAAATGAGGAGAAAGACAATCCCACCAGATGCAAATCTGATCATGTGCTATAACTAGTTCAGAAGTGAATTTGTTCTCATGCCCCAGGTCTCTGCTGAGAGGTAATTCCGGGTGGCTGTAGAGGTACAAGTTGACTTTAATTTGAGAGATACATAAACATGACTTTTCTCCTGGACAGTTCTGGGCTCTGATCAGATAAAAGGCAACATGAAAGCTAATTAGCATGCCCACAGAAGGGAAGAAGGCATATTTTGAACTCTAGCACATACACACAGAGCATATAGCTTCAAAAAACTTAGACTACCAAGATATTGAATACAGAATATATCTTCAAATCAAGTGGTTTGCATAATTGAACTTGAAAAGAAACATAAGGCGAGGTTAAATCTTATCAGAGGAAAATCTAAACAGCTTCCAGAATGTTGTGCATTAGCCCATTAGCGTGGGTTAGAATATGTCATCTAGTGATAGCTTTAAGTGGTGACGTAGTTTTTTTTGAGCGTGTTCTTAGGATGATGCTTTATTTACTTCTGTTTGCCAAATTTAGGGACAGGGTTTAGGTGGCATTTAAAAGGGATGCAGAGATGCAGTTTCAGAGATAGTTTTATTATTAAAAAATTTTTTTTAACGTTTATTTATTTTTGAGACAGAGAGAGACAGAGCATGAACGGGGGAGGGTCAGAGAGAGAGGGAGACACAGAATCCGAAGCAGGCTCCAGGCTCTGAGCTGTCAGCACAGAGCCCGACGCGGGGCTCGAACCCACGGACCGCGAGATCATGACCTGACAGAAGTCGGGCGCCCAACCGACTGAGCCACCCAGGCGCCCCCAGAGACAGTTTTACAAACTCATTCCACATTCTGTCATTTTGTATTAAATTGGACCAGAGTCAGACATTTGTTGGGAGGTGAGAAAGGGTGTTAAAATTTGAAAAATGGCCCAAGCCTTTTCTGGTAGACTTTGTTTGCACACCATGGTAATGGCAAAGCCGTTCTTCAGTCAAACCTGAGATTTCCAGGTCCTCTGTGTCAGAGATTTGTTACATCCATCTGAGGGTCTCAGGAAGCCGCAAGACGGCAGACACAACCTGTGCACATGATCTTGTGGGCATGTGTGTAAAAACACATGTGCGTTCTCTGCAGGAGAAAAGGCCAGCCCGTTAGCAGATTCTGTCAGTGGGGCAAGGTTGCCAGAAAGAAATTTTTCTCAAGTTCAGAAGGAGGGGGTGAGCAGCAGAGGTTACGTTGGGGTTCCAGGGACTACAAAGGAACCCTGGGAAAGAAGACTGTGACCTTTCCCTCAGGTAACCCTGCAGGGCAGCTCACTTTCGGTCCCAGTGAGGCTTTGTGAAGCATCGTCTTGACCCAAAGGATCCTGAAGATTCGGGGATCAGAGACTGACATTAACTGTGAAATGAATTTAGTGTCAATAGACCAGTCCCACATTCTGGCATTTGCTACTATTTGAGGGACCCAGAGACGGTGGGCATTTGAACAAGGGGATGCGGTTCTTAGGGTGAACTCCAGAGGTCCTTAATCTGTGGAATTACTTCCTTTTATATTTAAAATACTCTTTTCCTCCTTTCCTGAGAACAAAAATAAAGCACTACCAAAATGTAAAAAGTAACAGCTGCATTAATTCTCCTTACCAAGGTTTACTTCAAGATGAAAATAGCTTTAAATTTTGTCTTGATTATAACAAGCATTATCTATACCTTATAAAAAGCAGATGGGGCGTCTGAGTGGCTCAGTCGGTTAAGCATCCAACTTCGGCTCAGGTCACAATCTTGTGGTCTGCGGGTTCAAGTCCCGCGTCAAGCTCTGTGCTGACAGCTCAGAGCCTGGAGCCTGCCTGATTCTTGTCTCCTTCTCCCTCTGCCCCTCCCCCGCTTGCGCTCTGGCTCTGTCTCTCAAAAACAAATAAACGTGAAGGGGCGTGTTGGCCGTTAACATTTTCTGACTTGAAGTCTTCAAGCATGTCTCCCCAGGGAGGCAAGAAGGCAGCCACTGAGGTTCTTGGAGGGCAGAAATCAGATAGCTGGCCCCAGGAGCCGCAGGTGCTGTCGGGAAGGACTGTTAGAAGCCGGAAAACCAGGTTTTATTCCACATCTCTGGAACTCGGATCCATGTAGGTCTGAGCTGAACACTTTATCCTCACGAGGGAACGGTGTCGATATGGGGGGACGGCGGTAGTTGTCCCTGCCCAGATCTCAGTGCGCTCTCCTCTCGCCTTCACCAGAGTATATACGTTGTCCCCCGGAGTCTGAGTGAACTGAGCCTCTCAGGGTTTTATTTACCAAGACCTCTTTGCTAGTGTAGAATGTGGGCCTCAAATTTCTCCCGCAGGCACACCAGATATAATTTTAAGTGCTCTGTCTTGCCTTCATCAAATACATGCCCATCTCCTCACCTTTGAATCCTTGCCAAAATCCATATTGAGACCTGTAATCTGTATTAGTCAAGGGTAGATGAAGTTTCTGCCTTTCTGGGACTTTCTTCAGATACCGATATCGAAGCGAAGACTCAAAGGGGAGGGCATAAAGGGACCTGAGACTGAGATGAAAGGGAACTTGAACATTTCCATGAAGATGGGGAATGAAAGGTGACGGATACCTGGGGAGAGAGGGAGGAAGGTTTTGATAGGTTTGATTGTAAGACCAAGGGGAAGATTGTGATGCTACATGGAACTTTAGGGAACTGAAATGCTCTGGGTCAAAAGATCTTAGGAAACCAATTAACTAGCACAAGCTATACAGGTCCCATAAGAGAGGACAGAGATACCCCTTCCTGTCCTCTGCCCCTTTACGGTGCTTTTAAGCAGATAAGTATAGGGACATAGCATCTATTAAGTGAGAGGCAGGATTCCAGAATTTGTATTTTGAATGGGAGAAACTGAACACCGGGGCTTACCACCATCTTTTATTCAAGGAAATAAGAACTGAAGTGATTTCATTTCCTGCCAGGTATTTTTCTTCCCACTAGGTTTTGCTCTCTGTTCAATCACCATTCAAACAAAGAGCATTTCATAAAATGGGAAGGGTCTTTTGCTGAGCAGGTTTCAAAGCACAGAAACCTGCTTATTCTATTGAAATTTAATGAAACTCTTTCCTTTTGAATGCTGCTTGGACTTTGGACAGGTTGCAGATCTAACAAGGCTGACCTCCTGAGGTCAACCCATATAGAAAGTCTGATCTTGGTTTTTTAAGCAACAGCAGTGTCAGGAGGTAAAGAGGTGAAAGGTGACTCCTACAAAATTGAGTAGCTAAGAATTATGGTAGCTCTTCATATGATAACTACTTATATGCTTATAAGTACCAGTGCACATATAACGCTAGGCATGATTTTTTAAAAGGTCTGATCTCTTCCTTACAGTGTTGAAGAACTAATGGCAAAAGGTAAAAGTGGGGCATTTTATTATTGAAAGATGCAAAATGGGAAGTCCCCAGGAACATCTTTAGCCCTGATTGTATTTACTCTGGCTGTTATAGCCTTACATTTAAATCCCTCATGGTATTTTGTGTCACATGTTTTGTCCAAAAATTGCTGATGTTGAAGTGATACATCTCGTATCTCTCCCCTGAATTTCAAAGTCATGGATCCAGTTGCTTATGGGACACGTCCAGATGCATGTCTCACAGCTCAAATTTACAAGCCCAGAACTGAACTCTTACTTCTAACTGCACAGACCCAAATAATCTTCCCCCTTATCGCCGCCATATCAGTAAGAGGCTACTTGAGTCTTGCAGTTGGATCAGACCCTCAACTTTGAAGCCTTCCTTGATTCCCTTCTCTCACACCTTGCATACAACCTACTCGTCCCCATCTCTGCCACATTACCCTGGTCCAAGCCATCATCCTCCCTCACCTAGATAGTTACCACAATATCCTAAGGTCTCCCCACTTCACGGCTTGCCCTGGGACCTTCTAAAACAGCAGCCACAAAAATGAGGATGCTAAACTGATACATCTTGTAAAACATGCACCCAGGGTCTTAGCTGGGAACCTGTGATGGAAATTGGATTTGTTTTCTGCTCCAGCCCAGAGAGCAATATGGTTTGTGATTATGTCTTCCCATCTGGCCCGCCCCTCTCTCTGTCTGCCAATCACCTGGGGATTTATCTGCATGCAGCACTAGCTGGAGAAAGATGGAAACCCAAATGTTGTTGACGTATTTACATATGTGTGCGCAGACGTGCTGAACAAAAACAAGCTGATGGAAACACCCACTCAGAGAGCCAATAACCATTCTCTTCTTGCTTCTCTCACTCGCTTGCTTTCAGCAACCACTGGAAAGAAAAGACAGCCAGAATAGTTCTCAGCACAGTGTTTCCAGCCACCGGAGCCTGCACACGGCCTCCCCAAGCCACAGCACACAGGTGCTCCCCGAGTACTCACCTGCAGAGGCCCCAACTCCAGATCAAACCGACAGCTCTGGGCAGAAAAAACCAGATCCTTTTAAAATCTGGGCCCAGTCCAGGAGCATGTATGAAAACCGACGTGAGTAGCACCCTGGCCCCTGTCTTCCCGAGCCCCCTCCCCAAGGCTTCAACCGTCTCCTGAGGCTTCTTGAAAATAGATTTTCAGTGTGTACACAGAGGAGAGGTAAATCAAGGTGAGAGGCGAAAGCTTCTCGGAGTAGTGATAGAATCTGCTGGGTGTTCATGGAGGGTCCATTATGTGTGCAGTTTGGGGAGGGCTTGATATGGATGGTGGTCAAATAAAGGGCTTGGATAAAAATGGATTTATTTTTCCCTTCACTTAGAAGAAGTGGCAGGTAAGAGCTGCTGTCTCGTTAACTCTTGCCCGTGTAGAGACCGTGGCCCTGTTCTTGAGAAACAGCTCTGATGTACCATAGAACGTAAATACGATTGGTTTGGATTGCAGGAGTAATGAGAAGAAATTAAATGCTTTCTTAGCGGTCTCCTAGTTTTTTTAAGAATACTGGTAATTTTT